TGAATTTCCCCATTTTCTGGAAATTGAATTAACTCGATTGTCTCTTCCCTTTTTTACATATGCAGCCAATAGAACTACAACATTGTCCACGAAAGTTCATTACTATTATTCTGTATTTAGTCCACCTTATACTTCGATAAAGTTTAATAATTTGCTTCACCCAATACCTGCACGAATTTGAGATTTTGTAAGCGAAGTGATGTTAGTAAATCTTAACAACAAAATGGTGTCGAATAATTTTACTTCTCTTTTACCTCTATACAGTGGCTTAACATTGAATACGTATAATATGTCACTCTTATGTTCCCTCTATCTATCCTAGCTCTGGGAACTAGAGGTGCATTAAAAAAGAAGTCTATAACCGCGCTCATATTTGGGTAGAGTAGGGACTGTAGGAAGAAGGCAGCTAAAAGCACAGTGAGTACATTAGAGTCTGTAGTCTTCTTTATTAATTTAAGTCTACTGATGTAGTTCAGCGTTGCCAGCATCAATACAATTTTATATATCAGTACATTTTACAATTCATTTTACATTATATTGCGCCGCCATTTTGTAGCAACTTCAAATCTTATCCTTAATTTACATACACAAATTGGCGGATATCTAAATTATCTGAATAAAGAACATTTATTTATTCAGCCAGTCAATACAAGCATAAACCTTTGGCAACCTTGGACTTGACACGACATTGACAAAAGATGTTTAAAGTACTCTCTCATAATTTGGCCTTACTGCGCATGTTACTCGTCTAACATTATAAGTTATTATGTGAGTAAGAGAGGGATGGAAAAAGTGAGCAGTCGTGTTAGTCAATTAGTATCGAGTACTGGCTCAGTACGTTCAATTTCAAGACATTGGCATCGCTGGTATACCGGGTGACAATTAGACCAGTGCCACGTTATTATCGTTTTTATTTATAAAACTAATTTATAAAATTGATACTTATATTTAAACAAATTGGCCGATTTCCGGTTTAACAGGAAATTCCAATAATTTTAATTTTTTTAATAGACCATCCTGTATATTTTATGTTTTTTGGAATTACATGTAAAAGTATATAAATTCCTCATTTCTCCACATTTTTTTTTAATTTTCTTTTTTAGGTAGACGTTTATGGACTGGAAAAGTGATGCTTGGCGCATTTTGTACGGTTTGTTATACAATTAGCTATTTAAAGACGAAAAGGCTCATAACAGGTGCCATTTAAAAAAATGTAGAAATGTATTTTTATCTGAGGGATTTTAATTTTAACTAAATTGATTAAATAGCTTTTGTTTCGAGCTATTTGAGGCTGTAGATCATTATTTTCCAATTCATGGCTTTTTACCTCAAAAAAAAAAAATAATAATTAAAAAAAAAAAATTATGAAAAATTTAAATTTGGCAACACTGTCATATGTAGAGAGCGGAATTTATGAAAACTGTATATATAGGGGAGACCTGGGAAATACTGCCTCCAAAGGGAGAATTTATTCTGGATACTGACGCTAGTAATGTGGAAATTGGGAAGTGCTTTCACAGATTCAGGAAGGGAAAGAAAGAGTACTGAGCGAAATTACTACATCACGAGAAGAGAACTCCTAACTTCTAACAATACCTGTAAGGAAGGATATTTCTAATCCGGACCGATCATGCAGCTCTTAAGTGGCTGATGCAGTTCAAAAACCCGGAGGGCCAAATAGCCAGATGGATCGAATGATTCAAGAGTACGACTTCAAGATCGAGCATATAGCCGGAATAAGTCATAGAAATGCTGATTCGCTTTCTAGAAGAATCCAAACAAGAATCCAAAAATAGTGGACTACTAAAAACCACTGTAGTCAACGATGAGTAGGCCCCTGCCAAACTTAGGGAAGAACAAGGGAACGATCACGCTTTAAAGAAGATGCTACAATGGAAAGAAGAAAATCGTCGACCTACTTGGTAAGCAGTATCAAATCTCTCTCCAGTAGTTAAGTCATATTTGGCTCAGTGGGACTCTTTTATTTTGGAAGAAGGTTTATTAAAGCGAGTTCTAGAGAATGACGATGGTTTCAAAAACAGACGAAGTTGGTCATTCCAAAGACTAGAGTAGCCGAAGTACTTCGTCAGAAGGACATCTCGTCGTTAAGAAAATCCTTCTGAGAGTTCGTGCAAGGTTTTATTGGATAAACAGTTCCGATGATGTAAAGGACTGGTGTAAGAAATGTACCACCTGTGCTATGAGTAATGGAAAAAGCAAGGCCCCCATGAAGCAGTACAACGTCAGTAGACCGAAAAGATTGCCTTAGATATTGCTGGACAATTCCCCATGACAGAGGATGGTAATAAATACACGATGCTGGTTATGGATTATTTTGCGAAGTGGGTAGAAGTCTACGCCATTCCAAATCAAGAGGCCGCAACTGTTGTAGACGTGTTGATAACAGTACATTTATAGTGCTAGCTTTTCCGAGGAATCTGTGACGGACTAGGCATGAAGAAAACCAGAACTACGGCATTGCGTCCACAGTCGGAGGGAATGGTAGAGCAAATGAATACGACCATTGGCAAAATTCGTTTCCAACCATCGCATCAACGAGATTGGGATCAGTATCTTTCGTTCTTCGCAATGGAATATAGATACACTGTCAATGAATCTACAGGCCAAACACTAACAAAGGTGAGATGAGACTACCATGTGACCTCGAGTTTGGTCTTGAGAAGGTCCGTACTTCATCAAGAATAAAATCAATGGTGTCATTTACCGTTAAAGTAAGATTCCGAACGGTAAACCGAGGGTAGTGCATCAAAACCGGCCGGCGCCATTTGAGGGTGACCATGACGATGAAGAAGAAGTAAGCCAGCTCCAAGAAACGCCTGATCTTATCTTTGAATAATTTATGGGTGCATATGGAGGTACCGGAAGAGCAAGATATGGTGTTACAACCTAGCAACAACAAGATCTGCTCACGATTCCTAAAGACTACTCACTGGTTCATAGCACTTTCGCCATCATCAACAAAGCTCGAGGTCTGGCATCTATGTTTCGGAAGAAGTTTGGTCGATTACCTGAACTTCAAGATCAGTTGCCAGCCCCTGGAAAAGCATTGAAACTTCAAGATGGATCACGTTATCTTTTCTATTTGGTAACAAAGAACACTTTCCGAGATCGATCCACTTATCATGATGTATGGGAAGTATTACTTAGTCTGAGAGAGCGTGTACTGGAGTCCAATGTACAGAAACTATCCGTGCCAAAGATAGAGAGCAACCAGCTGAATTGGAGGGTTATTAGAGATATGGTGGAAGTAATCTTTCAAGATAACGAGATCCAAATACTGTTCTGCAACCATTCGCCTATTATCCAGGTTTCAGCAAAAAGTGAGTCCAGTTGCAGATACAACCATTCAGTTTTAATTCCAAGAGGAAATATTTCCTAAGAAGGGGACAATGTTGTGTAAAGCCGATAATGTTCTCTATTACAATTACGCGAAGTCTGGCGTTTATAATCGCTATTGTCCACTACGAAGACTCGAGACATTAGAGAGTTTTAGCAAATGTACGTAAGATTTCCGCTAACGTTACGTTAAACTTAGATTGTGACCTTTTTCATAAACATTGAACAGAGTAGATTACCGTCTATCCCTAAGGTAACGTTAGCGGATGGTTAGCGGCTGTTTGCTAAAACTCCCTATTGATAGTGAAACGTTCGCTATATGCCTTTTGACGCGTGGAGGAAGCTTTCGAGATTCGTCTAGTAGGATTGGTTTTTTCTAGACTGATACACTTTTATATAAATAGCGCTACTTTGTCGATAGAAATTAAGTTTCAATATTACTGTTTTATAGTAAAGATAAATTGTAAAAATAAATTATACGTGTATTATAATAGTGTCTAAGTATTAAATAAATTAACTAGAACGTTATAAATAAATTAAAAATAAAGTTTCCAAATAGATATTACAGACACAGTTGTTGTTATTATTATCTACAGATATCTTTTCTAATCGTTCTTCTTTCATGCTTTTTGCATAATTTTTACTATTAGGGTAAAATAAGTGCATATTTTAAATAAAAAATATGCATATATGTGCGCATATTATGAATAAATTTTGGTGCATATATTCCGCTTATTAGTCATAGGTAATTTGAACCATACATTCAAAATAACAAAATATACAGGGTGTTTCATTTAGAAAATCAAACTTAATGGCATTTCCGGTCAATCCGGACATCGGTCATTTCATTCAATTATAAGTGTCAATTCGAAATAATGTCTAATAGATTTATCCCAAATTTGATCCATAAATAAAAGAGATATTAACATTAACATAGCCCTGTTCTAATTATCAGCCGGTAGTTGTTTTTATGTTGTATCAGTTACTACACAGAGTGACGCTGCTCTATCGTCCTTATATGAATACGTTTCTGCTGCATTTTGTTCTTTCCGATATGTCAAATATAAAATAGAATAGAAAAATATGTTTATTTGTTTAAAATAACTTCTAGATTTCGTTGAAATGCAGCTTCTTATTTGTTCGCCTAAATAGATAATGAAAAATATTTTTGAATAGTACAAAATATGAAGCGTTTCTCCCATTATGTGCAGTGTGCAGGTCTTTTAGACATCAGGCAAACACATATTTTTTGAAAATGAATGAGTCTTATAAAAGGATAAAAAACAATAAATGTACCTACAGGTATATTAAAAAATATATTAAAAATAATATTAATTGCTAGGCTGATAAGAAAAAATTACGAAAATGGGAGAAACGTCCCTATCGATTTATAAAATAAATTTTGTACTTGGACAATGCGGGCAGTAAAGTAAAATGTTATGTGGTGAATATTTCAATAAACTAAGAATTATTTTTATTGTTTTCAACTTAAAACATAATTAAACTTGCTGGAGATGTATTTTCTTTTCTATGTTAACAATAACAAAAAATGATATTACAATAATTAAGGTACAAAGTAAAAATAGGTAGATACTCCGATTTCACATTATTTTTGGGGCCATGGTAATAATTATTAGCATTTTTCAATTTATACACATTCCTGCTTGCTCATGTCCCAAGCAAAATATGCGAGGACTGTGCGAACTGTCCCAAATGCCAGGGCCGCATCTAGTACAAAGTCCAGCTAAGGTGCATGGTATTTCTCTCAGTTGACGAAATTGGTGAAGTAAACCTCTCGCTTTTCTGGCTATCACCTGACCATCCATGTACATAGCTGAAAAAGGAAGTGTGCTAGGTTCTATAATAACTTTTTCTAACAAGAACGAATAGAAAAATTGTTTTAGATTTGACCATGTCATCGAAAAATTCTCAAGCTTCTGAATGAAATCCAAGTTGTCTTTTACAGAAGACGAACTGTCATTTAGTAACATCGTAAGTTCCCACATGCGTGATTTATTTCATGGCCAACTCCAGAGCAATAGTTTCTGGTGTTATTGAAATACAGAGTGAGTAATTAGAGCTTGTAAACTATATCGAAGAAAGAGAACAAAAATACTTACCTAGTGAACTAAAATGTAATAACATCTCATCAGATCTAAGATCTTGAGCAATTACATCTTCTGCATATACGGATATGATTGCTAGACATAAGAACAAGTGGAAATAGTCTGTTAAATAGTTGGCCCAACAGGATTCCCACATTCGCAAAGCGACTCCTTCAGTGAATTCTCTTTTAAAACACCTAAAAAAGTTTCGTATATTTTTGTTCAAAACTTAACGATACTGACAAAAAATAAAATATTAACTGACAATTAACTGTGAAAACTATATCTGGTACTATACAAGTAAGCTTAAACTGCTAAACACATATACAGCAGGTAGACGAATTTACAGTTTAAGATGATTTCAACTGCTAAATTTATATTCAATTTATTTATTTGTATCTAACTAAACGCATTAGAGCATAAACAAAGATATACTTACAAAAGAATCCACCTATGACAAAAAAGAAGTTCCAAGGCGTCACTATGCTTTTCCAAATGTTGATAAAATTTAGGAACCATTAATCGTATTAATTCTCGTAAATATCTCAAATTTCTATCCATATCTCTATCGGTAGGCGTAGCAACAAACACAGCTCTTTGCATTAAACCCACAAAACACCAAAAAGCAGCAACTTCATCTTGCAATTCGCATAATACAGGAGCTAGAAGGTCACTCATTCCTTGAGTATATCTGCAAGGGAAAAAACAGAACATCAAACAGGTTACGAATTGTTACCATCTTTTGCATCTAATTTTAAAACGTATTGTTTTTGTAAAAAAATTTATGAATACATTTTTTCTCTGTGATCTCCGTAATGGGTGACACAAAATTGATCGAAAACATTTGATCGAAAAAACATTTGATGGAAAAGAACAATGATCGAACAGAAAATTAATTGAAAATTGTTTTGATAGAGTGTGACGAAGTCACTAAATTTTGCTCTCAATTAATTTAAAAAATGTTTATTTCAATTAATTCCCGCCTGAGGACATATAGAAGATCCCCCGTATATCTGTTTTCCAGAAATTGCCGTTTTTCAACAATTGCGAGTTCCCTTGTAGGTTAAAATATTTCTATATTTGCCGAGTCGATTTCGTACCAATTATCTACCTTTATTTGTCAAGGTACTAGATGGACATTTTTTTTTATTTTTAAATTGTAAACAGTCGACTGTAGTAGTGGTATCCCCCCACTCAGGTTTACTGAAAAGCATAAATTCAATGACATCTGGGAATTACACTATCTTGATTGAAGGTAGGAACCCGCTTATTATTTTTTTATTTACAATTAGTTTGGGACAACTGTCCGCCAAGTGAAATAATTTTGATTCATGCCCAGCATTTTTCATTTCATCCCTTAGTGGGAAGCCGTTGGCAAATTTTTTTATAAGAAGCACCCAGTATTTTTCATGTAAGTTTCTCTTTTCTTTTATTTATTCATTTAAGTGTATTTGAATCGTTCCGTTCCCCGTCCACAACTAATTATTGAACGAAGCCCAACTTTCACACCGTCTTGATCGCCTTTTAGCAAATCTCAAAATAATTTTTACGTTAACCATCGCATTTTTGTTCCAAACACCGCGCTGAAAATTATCATTCTCGTTCAATATAATTTCCAGAGCGTCGCCGATCGGTCTGGTCTAAGTTACAACGACGTTCCGAAAACTTTGGTTTCATTTATTTGCTTGCATTTGATTACTGTCATATTTAAATTGTTTTCAAGTGTATTAATTTATTTTTAAAAAATGTTCCGTATACAGGGAGTTTCATAATTCCCGGACCGCTTGGCCTCCTGTGCTAGCGAACCGTAATTAGGTACTCATCAATTTTTAAATAGTTTTCAATTGTAATAATTTATTTTACATAAATTTTCCGGATATAGGGATCCATCAATATTTAAATAGTTTTCAATTGTAATAATTTATTTTTCATAAATTTTCCGGATATAGGGATCTATCAATATTTAAATAGTTTTCAATTGTAATAATTTGTTTTTCATAAATTTTTTGGATATACGGATCCATCAATATTTAAATAGTTTTCAATTGTAATAATTTATTTATCGATGACTCCAGGCCACACAGGTTAGAAAAATTAGTTGAGTTTTTTTATATAAAAAAACTTTATTAATTTACCTAACCTGTGCGAGAGCAATCAGTAAAATTTAAATGGTTTCAGGCAGCACAGGTCAGGTAAATTTTTGTATAATTTTGCTATTAGTACCTAATTTGACGATAGCCGCTCAATTTAGTTTTCCACCCGATAATAGGGATTAGACGGACGGTTACATTATCGTCGCGCAAAGCCGACCCTGTTCTTTGTTTACTACCTTAGCCGCGATATGAAGTCTAACGCTGGCCATATAGAGACAAACGCACTCCTTCGATAAGTTACCGGAGAGATCGCTGTGCGACGGTTGAGTCATAGAGAAGGAGTTCCTAGACGTTCTAGATCGCCGAGAAACTACTAGTGCAGAGCTGGCTATATATAAATAGCGCGAATTTATCGGAATTTAAGTGCTGTATAGAAAAGATAAATTGTAATAAATAAATTAGAATTGTGAGTTATAATTGTGCCTAAGTTTTAAATAAATTAATTATTACGTTATAAATAAATTATAAGTAAACTGTTTTTAATAAATACACTATTTTTAAATTAAAGAATACCTGTATACAGGGTGTCATATTAGAAAATATATAGAGTATAAAATTTTACAATATAAACTGGTTTTATAAGCATTATAATAATATAATACTTACCCTAAGCCACAATTATAGATAGCGTAATTTAACAAAATATTCTTCATTATTTCAACATTAGGATTATTTTCACCAGAGAAAAATGGATTTCCTCTATCTGTTCTGACAACATCCTTTTCAACAACACTTTGTATTTTTCTTCTAAACTGATGCAGTTTATTTTCATTTAATTCCAGCCTTCTTCTGTTTATTTCTTCATATTCCTAAATCAAAATAATAATATATTTAAGAAAATTCCTAATATTAAGTCCAATTTTTGTTTATATTTTTGATTCTGTGTCATCGGCATTAGCTACTTAAGTTATAGCCTCGAATTATGTGTAGGCTTTATGATTGTGTTCCAGCGCTGCTTTAAGGACACCATTGCCAATTGGACCCCAACAGTGAATGTTCGAGTGGGAAATCAAATCTATGCAATAGAACTATTTTTAAATGAATTCAATTAATTAGACAAAATCCCGTCACCGGCAAAATTCGAACCAGGGACTCTTGGATCCGTAAATTCTAGACTCCTAAATATGAGCCACCCACCCCTAGAGACCAATTATATTAATTTCATAGGTATATATTATAAATGTATTCTAAAATTAATTTAAATGCTAATGAAATATAAGTAAATTTATATCCATTTTAAAATATGTAGGTACGTCAAAACCAATTTGTAATTCAAAATAGCCTTCACAATTAGGTTTAAACGTTATACAAAAATAATTTGTTCATAAAACTATAGGCATAATCACATTCTTGCCCTATTTCTAACTTTCCATTCTGATAATATGCGTATTATCATATTCTTCCTTAGATTTTCCATTGTCTTTCCAAACGCGCAATAATTTATGAATTTCTAGTTTCTTTTTTGAAACTCAGAGAGAGCATTAAAATGTTTTTAGTGATTAGCTCAATGTAAGGTTTCATGAATTTTTTTCAATATTAGAGCATTAGTTATGATATATTTGCAATGACCTAATTTGTGTTCCAATGACAAATGTCAATGACAAAAATAAACGTTTTAAGATTGTATTTATTTAAACAATAAAAATAGTAACACAGAAACATATCTTTAAACTACTTTTGTAACACCTTTATTAAAAAGAACTAAAAACGTAGATGCCAAATTAAATGACATGTTGTTTTTATTGTTTGCCAAATTATTATTAACATGTCCCTTTTTATTATGCATGATTGACATCAATTAAGATAATTTAAAATTTTTAGATATTATTCGCTTAGCACCAAAAGATAAATCATTTCATATATATTTTTTAAGATATTAGTCTAAATCCTATTTAAAAGCATATGACTATTTCACAATAATTATTGGAAAGACCAACTTAGATTAGATTAGGAGTTGGACATTGTTCTTATCCACCGCGACCTTTTCACATCTATTGTGGGACAAGAAAAAAAGGCCAACTTATTCTCTATTGCAACTTATAACACCTCGATATTTGGTAGTACCTATATATTTAAAAAAAAGCTGAAACAGGTCGATTTTTAATTCATAAGGAATATCTTGTTTCGATATAAAGAGACGTCTTTCATATTTCAACTCCATCCCTTCCACTTCCTAAACTCCTTAATTTTAGATATTTATGGAATATAACATTTGTGGAACTTCAGTGAAAAGGCAATTTATGGGAAATTCAGCAATATGTATTTTCATTTCGTTAGTTTTGATTTTAGGGCTATCTAGCAGAATAAAAAGTTGATAGACATTGTAAAGTAAATTTTATTTAGAAACTCATGTTTCAGTATTTTTTTAAATTTAATCATTACTATCATATCGGATGGACTGTTTTAAGTGGCACTTTCTGTATAATCTCGTATTATTATTAAGTTCGGTGTTGTCCCAAACAGTAAAAGGTGGCAACTAACCAGAAAAATAAGGCATTAGTTTTAGAAAAAAAATGCTTGTACTAAAATAACCAACAATGGAAATACGTGAAAGGAATATACCAGTGAAAAGACGCTACTATATGTATTTACGGAAACTTGTACATCTGGTGCCGGCACTGTTCATGCTTTATGTTTACTTATTTCGTATGTTAGTGATGACGAATACGCTGTAATTGGTGAAATGGCCTATACATAATAACTAATAATAGATGTACTTAGGGAATACATATTATTGCAAGTTGCAAGTGTGTAGAAATATATTGACAACACATTAAAATGTTTACGCCTAATATTCACGATGAAGGAAATGTAATAATCAGAATGGTAAGAATTCGTAGAAAATGTGCTTCGCAAGTCCTGTATATAACACAACTAGTATAAATAAATATAGTTTAAAAAACTAAAAAACACGCTTTTAGAGCATATCAAACTAAAAAGTTAAAAATAATTTTTCAAATAAGCTTAAAACAATAATAAATGGAAAATACTAGTATTATTGTGAAAAAAGCGTCGGGCACTTGATGTACGAGAAATATGGACAAAGCGCCCCACGCTTTTTTCACAATAATACTAGTATTTTCCATTTATTATTGTTTTAAGCTTATTTGAAAAATTATTTTTAACTTTTTAGTTTGATATGCACTAAAAGCGTGTTTTTTAGTTTTTTTAAACTATATTTATTTTTCGCCTTAGACCGCTCGGCCAACGAACGAACTTGAAGTAGTGAGATATACTGACAGTAATAAGCCACTTTCTTTTAGTCCAAAGGAGAGTTACAAACATACATACATACATACAGGTGAAGCTAATAAAAGCGTGTTAAAAATAAGGAATAATAGGTATATCAACAAAATAATCTATTTCATTTTAAAAATATAATAAAAAAATACTCACGTGTCGTCTAATCTCTGCAATTTGAATTCTTTCTTCAAACGTGCTTAAGTAAGGATACACATGCAACAAAAACGGCCAAACTTCTTTTCTGATACTTCTGTCCATTCCAGAAAAGAAAACGTATTTTCTTAATGTAAGGTCGTCCTCTAACTGACCGTTTTCATTAAATAAACCTCTAAAAACGTCTTCCGTCAACTTAGGCACTTGTCCTTCTTCAGGATGTAATTCCAGCAGTGACACTTCCGGCCTGCACACCATGAAATGGCGGTAAGGAAGATTTTCTTCCATACCTATAAATATTTTTTTTTACATAAAATTGTAATCAGATTCATAATATTTGAAAATTGGAGGAAGCTCAACCTAGAAGACATTCCACATCAAAAAAGGGTCAAATTTAATCAATGAAAGAGTTTGGTAGGTAGCTAAGTAAATGGGATGGTTTAAAGTTCGGAAAAACTATCAGTTATACGTTCCGAAAAGAAAGTAGATAAATTATTTGGAAGTGAGAACACAATTTATTGAAAAATTCAGAAAGTCGGTCCGAGAAGAAATCGAACCCTCCACATTTGCGATGTACGCACGTTGCCTTCCCAACTTGACTATCAGGGCATTAGATGTCCGAAGTCCGAGTTGTCAATTTGAATATTATATTCTAATCTCACTTGGTGATAATAAAGCGCTCATTCCAACATGGTGCGAGTTGGCAAGGCAGCATGCGGAGAGCGTGAATCCAGGGTTCGAATCCTCCCCGAGAGAGTTTCTTTCAATTTTTCAACAAATTTGTTTTCAATTTGATCAATTCAGAAAAACGACTAGAAAATGCACATATTTAGATTGCTGTTTTCTCAACATTTATACCCTAAAGTAATTTTACAGGTCACCAATTTTTAAATAAGTGGAAAAAATTCCGATATGTCCTAGTTCAATGAGTATCAAGAGGAGTAAAAGTCACATTTTGACATTAAGTTGAAGGGGATAATTTCTATTTTTTAAACAAATTTAATAAAATGGTCACGGGATTCTTATTGGGAATGTATTTCTTTGCCAAAATTCAGAGTTATGCGAAGCTAACCGGGTCCAAGTGTCATGATACGCTAACCTACATCATAATAGATATGTGAACTGTATAGTTATTATAGTAAGAGAGCCTACTGCAGATTTCGACCGTCATCTGATAACGAAATGAAATATGCTCCACAGGCATGTAACAATATTGTACTTAACAAATTGCAACTGTGCCAATCCCTATCCTGAGCAAAGTGGTTAAAAAAATTATTTTATATTCAAAAAATCACATAAGACATGACAGCGACAATTGTGTTTGCCCTGAAAATTACAATCCTAATTCATTGTGAACCTAGCTTTTAAACCTAAATTATTAATATTTTTACCTACCTTTAAAACCATGTGTATGTGTGAAAGGAAGAAGGATGGCATTGTATAAATCATTTGCAGAGATAGTCAATAATAATTATAAACTCTTGTTAGACAATTCTTTTAAACCATAATCATAGTAGTTTTTTTTGTCGTTTCCATGGCAACTTGTAAAAATGAATCACAATAGGCATACAAGTAAATTTTTAAATCAGCAAAAATTGATTCATATTTTTAATGATTTTTACCTACTAATCGTGGATAGATGTTTTTGTGCAATGTTAAGAGGTAGAAAATGTTTCCCTTTAACGATATATATCAAGATATATTTAAATATATTATTTTTTGGAAATTTAAGGGCAAACAAAACTAACGCTGTCATGTCTTATTTGATTTTATTAATATAAAATAATTTTTTTTAACCACTTTGCTCAGGATTGGGATTGGCACAGGTGCCATTTGGTAAACAACAATGTTTTTACATGCTTTTGGGGTATGTTTCATTTCGTTATCAGATGACGGTAAAAATTTGCAGTGGGCTCTTGGGCTATTATTATATAGGTAAATTGTCAAAGTAACTGCAGGAAGGCATTAGAATCATTCGTAGTACAACGGATTTACCACTATGCATCCGATTCTCTGATAATCTGTAGATTACCTTTAGCATATTTAATAGTATGTAATAGAGAGTGCCATTGATGTAAAACTTGTGCCAAATGATCTAGTCCTCCATGATGAAAATGAAGAATTTTGTATTGGGATTCTCTCGATGCTACAACTAGTTGTCCACAAGTGCAACTATTATCACTGAAGAATAATCTAAGCGACCTAAAATGTAAAATAATTAATTTAGCCACACTTAGAGCCGATTCTTTTTCGAGCAATAATTATATTATGATTGAAAAAATAATCATTGCATAAAGTACCAAAATTCTCTATTAAAATTTGATTAAATTTAATCAAAATTTTCTCTTTTTTTTGAAATTACTGAGCATGTTTGGATAAATGAATAGTACACTACAATTTGTTTGTCTCAGGTTCTCCAAAATGATCACGAAAATACGTCCAAGAGGAGGCAACATCTTGCATCAAGATTACGCTTGTGCTCACACCGCTGCTCGAAAAAATGAGTATTTTAATGCCCAAAACCTAGGAATAATAGGCCTAGCACCTAATGACGTCTTCTTATTTGCCCGGGTATAGGATAAATAACGGGGTTTACGTTCTACAAACTACGGCCAGAAGATTGGAGAATAGTTTTAGCCAAGAATGGTTTTCGCCTCCATTGACTATGGAGGAGAATACTTTAAAAAATTATAAATAAATGTTTTTGTAAATAAACGGTGTTTTGCTTTACTAGGCTTAATGGAAAGAAAACAATCCACTTACATTTAACAAAAGTATTTTTATTTTTCGTCGCAGTAGTCCATTAGATAGTGACAGGTTTAGGTACTTCATTTTCGCATGCAAGTCTCGAAGAGGGTTGAAAATAATATCGATTTTGAGTAAAATGAAACGAAATTTACGAGTGGCTCCTGTAAACTTCGATTTTTCTTAACAAAAATTATAGATATTTGTTGCACACATTTTTAAGTAAGCCGTGTTCACTAAATGCCTAACTAATAGAACTAGGCTTCGGAAAACCAAAGGCAATAATTTCTTCATGTGTTGCCCTTTTGATTATTAAAAATGTATAATTTTCTGTAGTGTCACTTAAACATTTTCTTTGCCATATTTTTTTTATTTTACTCTATCTAGTATTCAAACGATGCTCGTGGGTTGATCTGAAAGTAATTTATTGATTTCTGCACCAGAATTATGTGTTTCCCTTTTAAAGCTTCTACCGCCTATTGACGATTTAACAAAAGAAAATGAATTTCTTACATAATGTTCGAGTCCATATGGTAACATTCTTGTATACAATTTGGAAGCCAAAAGCAGAAAGTGTACGCTTATTAGAATTAAAAATGGTATTAAATGGCTGCTAATCTTAGGTGGCCACCGAAAATAACATAGCGACTCTCACCTTCTTTTTCATTTGCATGTACTTACAATGTAACGTACAGGGAGATGGGAAAATACCTTTATAATAAAAATCTTACCTCATTTGGCTTAAATCTGCACTAAATCTTCTACATTTGTGGGTTTCCTTGGGTTGTAAAATTGGAGAACTGCTTGCGCTCTCTGGAAAGTATAAATTGTGCTGTTGCATAAAATACTCCGGCGTAGAAATCCAATTGCATTGGCTATCAGTTGACGTTACAGATACTGATCTGTAAAAAAAACTTAGGTAACTAAAATTAAAGAATGACGGAGGAAACTTGAAAAAAAAAATATTAAAATATACCCCATTGCAGAGATGCCATCTCAAATAATCTGGTGCCCGAGTAACCGTCTGAGTATAGCGCCAATCGTAAAAGTAGGTTGTCAAGAGGTGAAGAAAAACGTGTTTACAGTTACTAAATCCAAATAATATTCCTTCCTTCCTTCCTTACCGGGTATTGCCGACTCAAATGACACCTTAGTAAACTTGGACTAGTAAAAGATAGTAAGTGCATATTCTGTGAGGAGACGGATGAAACCTAAATTTTGACTGAATGTATAGCATAAAAAATCCAAAGGCACCGTACTTGGGAGAAGGTATACCAAACAGAAGAGGACGATTTGCTTTGAGCCACTTCAAATCCTATACTTCCTTGGATATGATATGAAGGGTCGTTAGAGATGTAGAGACTATTCTGCCTTAGTGACAAAGGCACAATATATCTTTAAAGACCGCAGTGCCATAATACTCCATACAAAACATATATCCACCAAAATAATTTAAATGGAAACCCCTCTCGAGATGTATTAGTGGGAAAGTCAAGCGCGTAGCTAGGTTGTTTTCTTGGGGAGGGGGGGAACACTTTTCACATTATTTATTGGTGAATGCGCAGCGTGTTATCTTAGAATATGGTACCAATACAACGTCTAGAGTTCATATGTGTATTTCCAGAAAAAAGAGTGGGTTTTATGAAGTTTTTAATTTTTTATATATTTATACAGGGTGTTTTAGAATAAAATACCGTAATTTTGGGGATTTGCAGATCTTAATTATAAAGAGAAGCTAAATATAATTTTCCTATAAACGCCCAAGTTTTTATTCTACAGAGTGATAAAGTCAATTTCATAAATACATATTTTCTAAATCTTTTCCCTTACAGTAAAGATTTTAACTTAAAAATATGTATATGATAGGTAATCGTTATTATTAGTTAAATATAAATACCATAACCCATTGACATAGAATGAAGGGCTAAAGAAACAATTTTATTTAAAACTTTTGGAACACCCTACATTTCATAAAACTTAAGATTAATAAATATTTCTCACGCCATTTGTCACAAAAAAAGGACTTCTGGTTGATATTTGTAGACCATCCATTTCCGAGGAGATAGAACTGATTTATTTTATACAGAGTGTTTTGAAACATGTCTTAAATATGGCTAATTTTAAGTTCAATTTACTAAATTTTGTCAATTTCGCAAAAAATTGCTTATAAATTTACCTATCCAACATGTTCCAATAGTGCATAATTGATCGATAGCCGTTTAACATTAGAAATAGGAAAAACAGATTGTATGACCATGTTTAATAAATATTCTTAAATATACAGGGTGATCCATAAACGAGGGGCTGACCAAACTCATACATTTTTATATTTATTTTCACATCGTCAAACAATTTTAATAGACTTCATTTATTTGTTATGTTGTATATAAGGTATTTCAAAATATATTTTTTTAAATGGATTACCCTATATGTCATACCACCAATTTTGACACACCCTATATACAGCATAGCAAATGGATGAGGTCAATTAAAATTGTTTGATGATGTAAAAACAATCAAATATGTATGACTACCTGCAGGGTGTTTCGCTTTAAAAAAGTATAGATTTGGTCAGCACCTCGTTTATGGACCACCCTGTATATTTAATATTTGTTAAATATGGTCATACAACTTTTAAATTTAATATTTCTTCGTATTTCTAATTATAAAACAGCTATCGATCAATTATGCACTGATAGGACACCCTGTATATGTGTTATTGACATTGGTATTGTTACATAGGCAAATTTATAGGGAATTTTATGATAAGATAATATACAGTGTGTGGCGTTTGAAAAAATTGAGTAAATTGAACTTAAAATTCGCCATATTTTAGACATGATTCACAACACTCTGTATGGAATAAACCAGTTGTATCACGTCTATTCGTTAGTATTTTATGTCTGCATATTAAACAATTTTGAAATTAATGTAAACCTACCTAAATTATGATGATTTAATTTGGGGTCTGCATCATTAACTAATTAAAAAAAATAAATAAATTGTTTGGTAACACTGTAATATTTTTTAAAAATATTCTAGGGTTAAATACAGTATTTCCAAGAAATTATAAAAATAAAATAAAATATAGGGTGTTCTATTTAAAAAACATACATTTTTATTTGTCAGGCAAAAACGCAACACCCTGTATATCCAAAAATATTTTTAAAGTATGTATTTTTTAAATCCGTATAACTTTTATTTAAAACTTGTTTGCTTATCAATAACGCAAATTGAAATATTGAACAATTGCGAACTAATGGTACCATGGGTATATAAATTTTAATTTTCAATTTGCAGGAATATGACTATTTTAGATGAAAATGTTTGAGAAACTCTTTGTTTTATTGTATTTATTTTATCTCTCTATTTTTGTTTAATATAACGTTTAAAAAAATATTGATGTTGACTATGGCTTGGGGGGGGATAATTATCCCCATAACCCCCCCCTACGCCCTTGGGGAAAGTCGTCAAAAAGCACTTCCGCCGTACCAATAACATGTTTGATTTCTCAGTAAGTGAAAAAAGAAAACGGAAAACGGAAAACGGAAAACGGAAAACGGAAAACGGAAAACGGAAAACGGAAAACGGAAAACGGAAAACGGAAAACGGAAAACGGAAAACGGAAAACGGAAAACGGAAAACGGAAAACGAAAAAAGGAAAACGGAAAACGGAAAACGGAAAACGGAAAACGGAAAACGGAAAACGGAAAACGGAAAACGGAAAACGGAAAACGGAAAACGGAAAACGGAAAACGGAAAACGGAAAACGGAAAACGGAAAACGGAAAACGGAAAACGGAAAACGGAAAACGGAAAACGGAAAACGGAAAACGGAAAACGGAAAACGGAAAACGGAAAACGGAAAACGGAAAACGGAAAACGGAAAACGGAAAACGGAAAACGGAAAACGGAAAACGGAAAACGGAAAACGGAAAACGGAAAACGGAAAACGGAAAACGGAAAACGGAAAACGGAAAACGGAAAACGGAAAACGGAAAACGGAAAACGGAAAACGGAAAACGGAAAACGGAAAACGGAAAACGGAAAACGGAAAACGGAAAACGGAAAACGGAAAACGGAAAACGGAAAAACGGAAAACGGAAAACGGAAAACGGAAAACGGAAAACGGAAAACGGAAAACGGAAAACGGAAAACGGAAAACGGAAAACGGAAAACGGAAAACGGAAAACGGAAAACGGAAAACGGAAAACGGAAAACAGAAAACGTCAACTTTTAGCTCAGTTTCCAAATCTACTTTGGATAGTTATCGTAGAAATAATTTTTTATAATATTATATAATCTAGTAGTTATCTACCCTTTGACCACTTTAATGGTAAAGAGTATTTAATATATTTTTTTTGAAAAATTTTACATTTCACGTTTTCATTTTTTTAGTTTCAGGATACTTTATTAAAAATAACTTAGTGACCTACAACTATATTAAAATAACTTAAAAACAAATAAATTGCATTTTCAGTTTTTAATAGCTATTTGTCAGTTTTAGCTAATTCAATAATTAAATTCTATTCAAAAAATAAATAACAAATGATACAGCGCTGTCGTATTACGAGTATATCCTGAAAACAATTCAAACTTTTATATATATTCGACAAAGGTGTTTTAGAATGGTCATTAAATAAATATCTCATTAAAAATACTTTTGAATAAGGAATAAATGTGATAAAATATAAAAAATAAAAAAGTAATAAATTAAACTTATTTTGTGGTAATGAAAGGTAAGGTTAAATTAATTATTTATAGATTGAAAGTGAGACAAAAGATAAATATAAAAACAAAGTAATACATATATTTTAATAGATTAGAATAGTTAATTATACATTAACTACAGCGACTGTGAATTATCATATATGTGCTGATATTGAAATACTCTTAGAATATCCTACTCAATAACAAAATATTACTTGGGGTGGGTTCAATTTCTCTAAATTTAACAATAATATTTTGCAAAACTACCAAATTTTACATTTTAATCCCATTTTCAGATATTTACTTACCCCAATTATTACTAAATTACAATTTGAAAACGCTAAACAATATCTGATGTGCTCTACACACGTAAAAGAACTTTTCAAATTCAAATCCAGTCTGAGAATCCTGAAAACAGGCCCGTCCATACAGATTGAACTCATCTGGTATACAGACGGTTTAAAAACCAAGGAAGGGACCGGTGTTGCGATCTTTGGACCCAAGTCTAAAACAACGATTTCTCTGAGTCTAGGAAAATACTCAACAGTGTTCCAGGCTGAACTGGTAGCCATAATGTGCAAGAGAAATAATAAATTAGCAAGTATCAGGCAAAACTATTGACATCTAGTCTGATATCCAAGCGGCTCTAGAAGCAATTATCTCACCAGAAATCAAATCACGACTGGTAAAAGACTACTTAGAAGACCACGAGGGATATCAGGGCAATGAAAAGGCCGACGAACTAGCTCGAGAAGGCTCAGATAGGGTCATGTCAGGCCCCGAACACTTCTGAGGAGTTGCTAAGGCATTGTGCAAGGCATCCATCAAACAATGGATGCAAAAATAGTTCCATTAAGTCCCATTAAGGAACCGTCGGCCAAGTTTACGAAAGAACCATTGGATTAAAAATGACAAATCGTTAAGATAACAGTAGGTCTTCATACCGAACACTTTTATCTTAAGAAGGCACATGAGTATCACGAATCCAGCAGAAGAAGTAACAATATGCAGGTTCTGTGAAGAAGAAGAGAATACATCAATCCACGTCCTGCGCCAGTACTAACACTAGGCAAAGAAAAAGCCAGACGTATGGAACTACATGCGGGAGCCACTGTCAAAGCTACTAATAAAAAAAACCAAGCTAATCCCACAATAGATCTGAAAAGATCGCGGTGGACAAGGACAAATAATGTTCAATTTATTTCTAATCTAATATAATCTAACATAATCATGTTACATTTTCTAGGCGTCAATCCATATATCAATTTTATATAAAAATGTGTAAACATGGTTTATCGTGGGATTCGAACCATCGCGTCGTAAGCCGGTAGCCGATAGCCACAGCATCTTCATAGTTAGCTCAGCACACCTTTAGGATGAAACTCTGTTAATGGATAATCGAGTGGAAAATCATAAATAGAATTAATTTTAAATTAATTAATAATTAGGAAAAATCCAGGTCTCCAGTTGGATTCGAATACATATATGACTCACGCTCACAAGGTCTTGTCTGTAACCCCTTCATCAGATTTTTTATTTATTTTGAATAAAAATAATATTGAAACAATTTGAAACAAATAAAATTGATAGTATTAAAGTGTCACTACTGTTTTTATCTTTTGTAGGGTAAGAATGTATTTAAATTTACGATACCATATCATTAGCCTCTTTTTACTTAAAAAATTCCTTGACCCAGTAATTTGACATGATATGAATTACAAAATTAATGATAAGACAGGAAAATTTATAAAAGAAAGTTATTTTTTCAATTGATTAATTTATAGCATATTCTGTTATCTATTGATTCAGCCCTTCACCTAGTTGCTGGCCGGATAGAGGTCCCTGGTCAATAAGGAGTCCGCCTTGAGTATTTCCATAGACAGAAGGTGTTTTTGATAAAACCACTTTTCTCAATATAATATACTTACTAACCAACAGAAATATTCCTTAGATGGTTAGTGGGTGGATACATAACATGCTTTCAAAGAACTATTTACAATATTTTATACACCTAAGAGGACAAATGGCTACAACCGGTTCAGTTGTGAATCGTTTCGCTCCTGCCCTTCCACCAGTGCCAGAATGTTGAAAATAATGTATATTAAAATGACCGACAGAACAGGAGAAGAGACTATTCGATGTTTATGTAGTTAAGGGAAAGAATAAGGAACGAGGTACACGAACATGAAAGAAAGAAGAAAGGAAGAAAAGAAAGAAGAAAAAGAAAGGAAGGAGAAAGGAACAGTTTGGAAGCGAGAATTTAATATTGTTGGTGTAACAGAATAATCTTGTATTGTTTTTTAAAACTTTTTGATTTAAGTTTTACATAAATGATTAATGCAGATTGTTGCATTATAGGTAAATTACTATTTGAAACAGCTTTATAAAATTTTGGCAACCTAAATATCCTTTTGAGGCGAATATTAAGATTATGAATATATGTTCTGTAAGTTAGTCTATATTGCACATAAATGTAGATGATGTTAATATAAGAGGCTTGGTTGCGAGGGGATGTCCACCGAGAGGGATGCTATCACCTCTACTGTGGAACATGGTCCTCGATAACCTCATCAGACGCCTTAATAATGACAGTCACTATACAATAGCATATACAGATGACCTGGTAATTCTGTAAACAGGGAGTTCTCAACATTATAGAACAGTGACCAAGGACCATTCACTATCTATCAATCCCAAAAATACAGAAATGGTCCTTTTTACAAGGAAACGGATGAAAATGATATTAAAACCTCCAGAACTCCTAATCACAAAACTAAACTTTGCAACAGAGGTAAAGTACCTAGGTCTCAACTTTGACAGCAAGTTAACATGGAACTCGCATTTAGAAAATAGAGTTAAAAGATTATACTTTGCTTATGAACAATGCCACCGAACCGTAGGGCGCACCTGGGGTTTCTCCCCCAGAGTCGTCGCATGGACTTACACGGCTATCATAAGACCTATGCTAACATACGGTGCAGTTGTCTGGGTACAGAAAACCCAAAAATTAACAGCTATCCGTAAACTAGAACAAATTCTAAGAACAGCATGTCTCAACATAACAGGAGCCATGAAAACAATACCGACCAGGGCCATGGAAGTCATTCTCAGTCTCACTCCCCTTGATATTTACATCAAGGAGGTTGCTCTGATGACAATGACACGCCTCCGTACGGTTGGAATATAACCTGATGTAGGATCTGGTGAGGCGAGATGTCGCTTTTGGCAGGAGGCGCTCGATACGGTCCCACTGCTTCAAGTTAACATAAACTCCATCTCACCGAGATATATCTTCCATAAGCCATATAAAGTTATAATAGAACAAATAGAAGAGCCGGAAGTGGCAGGTACGATTCATATCTACACCGACGGTTCTAAAACAAAACAAGGCTCAGGATGTGGAATATACTCCAAATTCTTAAACCTAAACATAAAATGGGCTGTTAGCAATAGTGCCAGTGTAGTTCAAACAGAGCTAACGAGTATTCTCATAGCAGCAAAAGAAATAACCAGAAACAATATCACTGGAAGGGACATGCTTATCTATATAGATAGCAGACAAGCACTAGTCACCCTAAACAGACCACGAATTTACTCAGGGTTAGTACTAGACTGTCACGAAGCTTTGCCCGAAGTATCCATCAACAATGTGGTCACCTTAAGATGGATCAAAGGTCACGCCACATCGAAATGTAACCGCCTTGCTGATTCACTGGCCAAGAAGGCAGCCAACCAAATACTTTTTGGACCTGGCCCTTCTATTGGCCTGACATAATCGGCAGTAACAGATCTAATTAAATGACTTTGGCTTGTGTAATTGGAGAAAAAATGGGATGAAACAAGAAATTGCAGAGTTGCCAGGGAGCTTTTAAGTTATCCTGACAACACTACAGCAAAGAAATACTTGACTATGACTAGACAGAATCTGCGCCTGGTCACAGTCATTCGGACTGGTCATTACCAAGTACGGAAGCTTCTCCATATCATGGGGCTGTCAGAATCCGCACTCTGCAGGGGTGCGAACAAGAAGATGAGAGACCATCGAGCATATCCTCTTAGAAGATTTGTATTCGGCGAGTATCGGCTAACACCGGCCGATATAAGAGAAGCACCTCTTGGCCACGTTATCAACTACATTAAATCTGTAGGCTGGCTCACGAGCTAGGAGGTGCCTATCATCTTAGTGGGATGCCGTGGGGTAACCCACCTTCCACACGTTACAGATACAGAACCTACTCTGTTTCCAGATATTAGAAATTATGTATTTTTTTTTTCTAAAAAAAAATAATTTCGATTTAAAATATTTTAAATTTAGAAATGTATTTTTGCAGTACAAGTTAATAATATTTTTGAACACTCTCCACATATTATATGTTCAAACAAATTAGATTAATGAGGACTTTGAATTGAACGCAAGTAAAATTTATATATTTGTTCATATTTAATGATTTATTTAAATTAAAAATAATTAGATTTAAAAATTGTATAATCACATATTTGTTTTTTTTATATTTATAAATTCGCGTCTAGTAATATTAAAAATCAAAGGACGAGACACGGATTACATGGAGTTATGGATGTGCAATTTTACAAGTGTCGTATGTCTGTGACAGTATAGAAAATACATCCGATCAAAGAACGTAGTTCCATCGTAGCACCAAAGAATATTTTTGCTCATAACTCTAAAAATATGTATTTAGTTTTTAACGAGCTTATTCTTATTTGCTATGTAATTCAATGCCCTAAAAAACGATGTATTTATTATTATACAAGATGTTACGTTAAATCCTGTTAAAAGGTTTAAGCGGAAATTATTATCGCAAATATACTCGTGCAAACGGAACGCCATTCTTTATCTTTAAAAAAACAAAGTAACATTAATAGATCTTGCAAACTTTTTAATTTGTTAAACGTTAATGGTGACATCTGTAAATGTCAAAAGCAAAGCCTGCTTGGCATGGATAAAGTTTTGTCTTTGTAATATACAGAGCTTTAAAATTTAGACAGTAAGATGTAAATTTTTCAAAATTCAGATATTTTAGGGTAAAATGGGAGGACTTAAGAAGTCTATTAGGCGGAGGTACCGACAAGGGATTAGGCAGACACAAGAAACAGCGAAACTTTGTTAAATATAGAAAAAATTGACAAATTTCTTTGCTCTCAAAAATTAATGTTCTTTTTAAAAAATCTAAAATTCAATAATTACCTAAAAGTCAAAAATCTACCGTCTTGTTTCCAAGTCATATAAAAGAAAATAAATGGACAAAATTGATCTTGGCTCTCTTCATACTCGTACATGGTTAGCTTATAATTATACAAAACAGGCAATTTTTTAAGAAGTTAAGTTATAACTTAATAATGTCCTAAAGATGATTTGAGAAATAAAAGAAACAAAAATAAAGGGTGAGTACATCCAGAGAGGCATACCGTCTAGGGCTAGGGAGTGGTTGTTTTACATTTTAACACTTTAGTGTATTTGCATAAACATAATTAAAAAAAAGACTTACCGTGAAAATTCAAAAAATTCTGTTGGATCCTTGACGCTGTCTGGCGTCTGTATAATCTCTATTTCGGGATTAGAGATATCAACGTTAATGCTAATCATCTGTTTCTCACTTCCTTCGGAACTTAAATCCGAGACATCCATGCGATCTCTATCGTCATAGTTGAGAAAGGGATTAGTACTCTTGAATTCAATAGTCGGTCTTTCTATTATATAATCGGCGGAGTCATTTGAGGTTAGACTTTCGAGGCTGTAACGTTTTTTTTGTTGCTTCAAAGGTGTACCTAGAATTAAAAAAATGTCAATAAAAAATACGTAGAATTGAGTAAATATTTAATTGTTTGTAGAAAAGAAAGTTATAGTTTGAAGTTTGCTACTCCCAATTATTACATTTTTCAAAACTTAGTACACAACGTGTAAATTTCAGATTGTTAGAAGGAATTACTGAACTCCCCACCAGTAGAACGCGACATGATTATGCCGATCTAATTAAAAATGGCAAATCTGTGCGATGCTTAGAGGTAATACAAGATATAAGCATTACGGAGTATTTGAGGAAAATCCATTGCAAATACAAACAGAGTGACCCATTTGAAAGTAGGCCACCGTCATAATTTTTTTATTTATAGAGCGATTTTGACGGATTCTTTTTTTTAAATGTGGAGGAGGGAAGGTTATATTTTGTAACCAAGCGACAAATAGTTTTTTCCTACGACCACTTAGGAAAGTGACACATATCACACTATATAGTCCTATGGATATGAATAAGAATTTACTTTCCACCCGCATACGAATATGCTACTTTCCGCAGTAGCTGTCAGAAAATGTCAAACACATAATTTCTATTTTGATCTATGTAATGTCCATATTAATACTAAAATCGATATGATTGTTAAATTATTGAAATTGTTGGAAATTAGATCCTAGATATTTATCTTTAACAATTATTATTAAAATAATTTTAAAATAACTAATTGTAAGATATATTTGCTTTTTATTCTGGTTAAATACATAAGCGATTAGATCAATCAATTACCGTAAGCCCTGTTAGATCAGTTGGTTAGAGCGTTAACTTTGCAATTTAAGACCGTCAAGCGGCCGCGTTCTTTTTTTTTTATTTTTTTTTATTTTTTTATTTGTTTAGAAATTATGAAAATTGAATAAATACGATTATTGTTGATTATTTTTTTAAATACATTTTAATTATAATAATCTGGTTTTACATTTTTTGATGAAATTATTTTGTGGTCGTAGGAAAACTATTGTACATCACTTGTGTGAAAAGTGATTTTCCACATTCGTAATGTAATATACTATTTTTTAAATCAAGGCCTATTAGATAACATTCAGAGGCTGAAAAATTCAGAATCCATATTAGCGATTATTTTAGAAAAAATTCGCGTACGCCTTTGGAATCGGCGTCCTCTGATATAGATTTGTACCCAGTTTTATGAAAAAATATTTAACATTAACGATTCTATGACTAAATTACTGACAAGTTTTTTATGCATTAAGAAAATGTTTTTCTAGTAACACATGCGATAACAAAAATTAATAAATATGCCTTGGTTTTTAAACAAACTGAACTCCGCTTGCCTCCAAACTACACCTTTCCCCTCCACATTTAAAAAAAAATCGTCAAAATCGCTCCCTAAATAAAAAATGTCCGCTTTCAAATAGATCATTCAGTATATGCTTGTTGATTTGAGAGTCCACAGTGATTTTGTAACTATTTAATGATTATTTCCGGCTTTGAATATTTGTTTTTTTTTGTTATTAGTCATTTCTGTTGTTTCTACACATTTTCATTGTTGTAATAAATTTCTTTAGTGTTTAATTCATTCAGGTATCAAAAACAATGCGTTATATGCTTTTGTTTTTTAAAACCAGTGGTAAACTCCTATATTCAGGTCCGACGAGTGAGAGGGACAGGGGAGGAAAAATCGCCGGGGCATGGGCCCGGCAGCTTCAGAGAGTACGCTAGTCGTATAATAGTAACAGAGAAAGTTATTGTGATCCGCAGCAGAAAAATTATAAAGATACAAAATTAAGAATTAACGAAACAAAATATTCTATTAGGTTGTAAACAACAATGTACCAATGTGCTTATTCACCACCTTATTTACCTAGTTTACTTATTCCTTATAAACATGTCCAGTGTAATTTACTCCTGCTTAATAGCTGGTGAAGAAAATATTCACCAGTGAACACCACATAGCCGACAGGAAGGGGTAGTCAAACTAATTGTCAGTATATTTTTTAGTTATTGAGATTAAATATACATTAAAATGAGTAATTTTTGTGTAGAACCGATAAATCGCATTTATATATTTATTCGGTGCACATCATCGAGATAGAATGAAGTGAAGACGACATAAACACTATTTTACATGCTATTTATTTTACGATATGAAAGATGAGCGCACTTAGCGATTCCAAGACTGACTGAAAAATGTAATGAAAATGACGACCCACAGTCGTACTTTGATTCATTTGAAGTCAATAATTTAATATTTGAATATTGACGGAATGAAAATGTTTTTATATCATTTAAATGGAGCCATCTTTGAAAAATGGCATTTATTCTCACCAAAACCCCAGTATAATTAATAATACAGAAGCGACAGCTTGAGTCGGCTCCTTTGATGTCGGGGTGGTCAGATTTTTATTGACAATTGACATTTTTGCCGCTTATTTCTACACTGAAATAAGTAACTTTAAAATATCTTGACTCTTTGTCTGTTTGAATAAAATATCACACAATAAATGAAAGATAAAAACTAAGTCTAATATAATAAAAATGTATTAAAATATGCATTACAACCAATCAGATAATCAAAACAATCAATTACCATTAATCCATTGACAATTCACATATGCCAGTTTGACGTATTTGCCGCTTATTTACGGATATGCGCAGAAAAATATAGAACCCTCATAAACAATGAACTGTCGCTACTGTATTATTACTTATACTGGGCCAAAACAGACCAGCTCCAGTAGCTAGAGTTTGACAAATGACGTAAAAGTGTAATATTAAGGTGCAGATACTTTTAGTTAGGGTCCAAATTTAAAAAAAATTAAATTTTAATCAAACTATATGGAACTCTAAGCAAGAGGCCAGTCTGTTGTGAACAAGGAAGTATAATGCGAACCATTAGTTTATATATGTAGGAACATGGTTGAAAAAGAAGTCTTTTCTTTCTCACTGATGATGAAGTAATAACTCTGAAAGCGTTTGCTAATAAATAACTTTGTGAGACATAAAGGACTTCTTACGTATTTTCTACGTAATTCCTATAATAAATGACTACCATAACCTTTAATTAGTTTATTTTTAAAGTATACCTATTTTTAAAGTTAATGTAATTAAATAAATTATCGGACATTAGTCTTGACAACTAACAATATTTTATGACTGCACTCTTTTTTCCTTTTCAAACAAGGATAATTTAAGTTAATAAATGAGATAATACCTATAACTAAAATGAAATAAACTATTTGCGTATATTTAATTATATTTTATTCTTAATTAAGAGGATGGGATGAATATTTCTATTTGAAAAGGGTAAAACAATATTATGCTCTAAATTGTTTGATCACCTGCAACAAGAAATTCTGAAAAAAAGGGTTGGATTATATAAAAAAGTTTTGTTCCAGCAGGACAATGCGCCATGTTCATTATGGCATAATAGCTAAAATTAATGAACTGTGCCTTGACTTACTGCCCCATGCTCCTTACCAGACTGGGCCTCTTTGGACTTATTTCGAAACTTAAAATAATGTTACAGTAGTAAGAAAATAAGCGGATATTTTAAAGAGCTGGAAGAATCAGCTTATAAAAAACTAAAGGAATTTTTGACTCCGTATTTTTTCTCTTTCTTTTGGAATGAAAATTATTTATCCCATCCTCATATTCCTCCGGCTCAAAATAATGAATTATCTAAATTTAAAAATAAACTCCGTTTATTTTATGTTACTAGACATGTTACTAGATATTAAATTTTGTTTTTGTAACTAACTTTAATATAACCCCTACTGATAGATGACAAATTAACGAACTATATAGGTAATCAAAATCAACTGCAAACTATTTAGCTTATTTCCAGATGAGATTTCTTTAAAAACCGATAACATCCATTTGATTTTATCGGTTATTTTAATTTTTCTCTGTTTTTTGCAGTTTGACCCTCAATTTTGACTTCAGATTCGTGTTCAGCAGTAAAAAATACGTCGGAAAATCTTTGTCGAACACCCAGCACAGACCACTTTTTTTTTGTGGACCTGTGTTATTAATAGTTTTGTGAAGATAGGTTATAGCAACGTATAGCCACAAAACTATTTTTATGTTAAAGTAGATCCATAGAGAGCAATTTAATTTACAAAGGCCTTCTTTTAACATACAAATAAATGACAACTTTATAATTAAAATGAAAAACACAACAAAATACCTTGGTATCATAAATGATCCAAATTTGAAATGAACATTATATCCTACCTCTCTTTTATATAATAACAAAGTGCTTTGTATAAGAACATTATATTATCTGTCTTGCTGTACTTTTATTTATGGAAAGCCTGAATTGAGATATTTATTATTTGCAATAAATATCAAAAGAAGTATATATTTTTAAATAATTTGACATTTAAGAGCCATTCACATATATTATCACAGTTGACATCTTGATATTTGACAGGCACAGCCAAGCATTATTTTGAATTTTGCCAAATAAAATGGCCGGTTAATTATTCTATGGGGTTGCGACAGAGAAATTTGATGGTGTTTTTGTGGCTAGGGGCGAAATAGTAGTACGCTTAATAGCACCACCATAAAAAGTCATTTTTAAAAAACTGCTTATATATTTTTTATAAATTGGCAGGCTTGGCGACTAATTTCGAATGAAAATAGCCTCCAAAATGGCTATATGGTTGCAAGTATGAAGGTCGCAACCCGCCTTAGAAATTTCACCGTTACTATCAACAGCTGTTGTTTGAGAGGTCGTTAGAGAATGTTTGCAATTTATGGAATGTGAAGAATGTTAGAAATTTTGACCTTAGAAATAATTGAAATTCCTAAAATTGTTCACATAAGGAATGCATTAAGAAAATTGTTATTAAAGTAGTTAGGATGAACCAAAATTTCTGAAAATTAATAGGGTTCTAAGTTAGAAGAAATTATTCAAGAAAATCAAAACCGCAAGTCAATCAGAACTTTCGTTCTAGAGTTATCGTGTCGGCATACATACATACAGACGACCAGACGAAAAATTTTTTTTTGGATTCTCGGATTCAGAATGATCAGAAACATGAAAAAAAGTTTTAAAAAATGGGGGTCAGAAATTTTTTTCGTCTGCACGAATGCAAAGCCGCGTCCAGATCAATAAAATTTTGTGTTGAATGTTGTGTGTTGAGTTTGACAAAAATATTTGCGGCGCAAATATTTTTTTTATTGTGATTTTGTCTCGCAAATATGTGCGTTGTGTTGGTGTATCTATTGCGATCCATTTTCGTGCGTCGTGCGGTGATTGAAATAATAGTACAAACTAAAAAAATATTCAAGTCCACATTAAAACAAGCACTCGAGGGTCGTTCGACGCAAATCTCTTTGAAGTTGGCAGAAAAACCGACAGACCGGTGGATAGCGTGTGTTGTATCTGGCGCAAATATTTGCATGTTTCTTTGTGCGGCGCACAGTCCACATCTAGAAATATTTTGACGAACACGAGCAAATTTGCGTCAAATACAACGCACAACGTAAATATTTATTGATCTGGACCCGGCTCAATACTGAGGCCCCATAGGAAGGGCCTCAGTAATTATGGAAAACTTAGCAATGATGATTAAATAAAATGTACATTATTAATAATTCATATTCTAGTTAGTTAAGTCAAAAATGTGTCCTCGCATATTTTTTACCCCGATCGAATTGTAGCAATAAATTTTCAATTTGTCGCCGTCACTATTTACAGATCGAATAATAACTATGCGCATGCGTGCAATACGATTTCCGCAGTTTTAGTGAGGAAAATTGCGAACTATACAGTGGTTCTTACATAGATTATATGGGGTTTTATAGACTACTCTTTCCGTGCTTTTTCTTTCATTGCTTATAATTATGTCGTGTATAAAAACCATTCATTATCATTATGAATAAAATTAATTTTTCTACTCACTGATAATATTCGTATTTTTTGTGATTGACGAATTCGGAATCCACGTCAAAAATAAAGTAGGTCTTCGAGTATCGTTATATTGATCTATAAATACTTTGGTGGTGATTGTGAGATATCCTGGATTATGTAAGACATCGCTATCGTGTCGAGCATTGGCAGGTGGATGAACGCATACATTGTTCTTGCAAAAAAGAACTTCATTATCCTCGTATTCAAAGGACTTTGAAGTATTCTCTTCAGGTCCCAGGATGTAAGTTGATGCACGCCGAATAATGTCGGTTAGAGGCATTTTTTGTCGAGATTATATCTGAAAAAAAAAAACACATATTAACGAGAGAAAAGATAATTTTCATTTGTTTATTCTACTCGCGTATAAGCAATCATCAATAACCGTAGGTTACAGTTGACCTAATATTACAATATTATATTTCAATCTGAAATTTAATAAACAAGTTATCAGGGATTAAGTCGTCACCTTTGTTATATCAGAGGTCTAAACCATTTGACAGATGCAGTAGTGTCACGATACAAAAAATTACAGAATTATGATAGTTAGCCGATGAAATCTCGTCGAGTTCGCGTATGACGTATTGTGGTGAGCAATAGGGTTATCTGATTGGACATTGGCTGTTTTCGATCAGCTGATACTTTAAATTCTTAAAAGCCACGCCTTCCCACCTCAATACATCACCGTGACGTAGTATCAATGGGCGTAATATCAAACCTTCCTTTTATAGTGCAGCAGTGTGACGTCACACAAGTAGATTATCTATGTTTTGTTTATTCCTTTGTTTTCCTGATAAATTTTGCGATTTTCTGAAATCAAACTGAAAACTCCGTTGTGTGATTTAACTCTTGTAAAGTGTTTGTGAAACAATTTAAATAGTTTTTATCCCCTTTTTTGTCTAAATTTACAATAAAAACAAACATGCTTATCTTATACCTACTAAACAATAAACATAGCCCTTAAATTGCTATTATTTCTTATAAAATTTGTTTTGAATCTCAGTTGTGCGTTTTAAGAGCAAACCGGACCTCTCGCGAAAACAAAAATATGAAAGGGAAAACATGGTTCTTAACAAAATTACAATAAATTTTAGAAAGTAACATACCATAAACAAAAAATCTTAATCATATAGGTAGATGATCATCCACAAGTAAAATAAAACGGTATTCAATGATTATAGATACTAGGAAAAACTAATTTACTACAAATATTCTCAAAGGTAAAGTTGAAATGGAAGATGTGTGGAAGAAAAATTAATTAATTTGTTGTCCGATCTGTACACCAGAAAAAGGTCAACCTGAAGGGTCCAATAGAGTTGTTCTTGGTGGTTATGCTGACCTTCGCAGTACAAAACCGTGGTTTGTCAAGCGATTGTAAAGTGAAAATTATTTATTTATTTATTGATTACAATGATCTACAGGCAATCCCAATTACAGAGCAGGAATAAAAGAACACATACATTATGTAGACTAAGTGGTACAAAATATACAAAAATTTGTAAACAGCTAGTAGGTAAAATACAATACCTTTTTTTAAAGTTAGGAAATGATATTTTATTTCCCTAAGTTTGCATGAGAAGATGTCAATGTCACTACTCACACTATTAAGTTCTCTGTAGTGTCTCATGTACTTTGTATACCTGCGTGTTTGTGAAGTTTGCCCAGTGACACCTGGGCAGGTACCAGGTGAGAAAGGTGACTAAAAATAAGAGTTACTTAACTTAAATTTATATGGCTGATTTTTATATATATTTAATAATATCATTCTCAAGTAGTATCGCGAGTATCAGACACTTTCCATGGACCAAAACTTTTGTCAGACGCTTTAAAGTTCCACCAGAAATAAATGAACTTCACTTATTTTTTAATGTCTGATTTTTGAATATGTTATCGAGATAACTGTTACAACATTATATTTAATCAGTCAGACAAATTGGAATGACCAAAAATCCCATAAACACAAAAATTATTCGGCCGTGAGTACGAGCGCGAGAGCATTATGCATGCGTTTCAGAGCGACTGGGCTTCCAAATTGCATAAAAGCAAGCTGATATTCATGCTTCTTCATTAATATATTAAAAGGTCTTTGTTTACCTTTTTTGAAAAAGGAAGAATTAAAGTCACATCCAGTCAATGCATGAACATCTGGTAAACTTTTACACAAAGATGAGCTCAAATGTTTGTATTTTTTTTTTAAATTAATGTATCTCTGGTTATTTCCGGTGCCTGATAACCATACATTGGAGTCATCATTTTTCAAATTATCCTTGTCCTAACATAATTATTGCAATATCTTATAACAAAATTTGCACATACACAGTAGACTGAAACAAAATGTGAGTTACAGAAGGAGAACCGGGTTACTATGGACGTCTCAGTCGCCTTTCTCACCTGGTACCTGCCCAGGTGTCACTGGGCAAACTTCACAAACACGCAGGTATACAAAGTACATGAGACACTACTGAGAACTTAAAGTTTCATCTTTTAGAAAATAAGTTATGTCTTATCGCTCTGGGATCTTACTCTAATTAAATAATTATATTTTATTTGGTCGGTTTTTAAAGTAAAAGACGTAACTTTACATTTAATTGCTTATTAGTTTATTAGTTTATTATTATTACACCATTCAACCACTAGATTTAAGTTCATGTGAAGTTGTTTACAGTCGCCAATACTTGTCACACGCTTGTATAATTTTAAATCATCTGCATACAGTAAAAACTGCTCTTTAATTACACTCGAGATATCATTGATGAAAATATTAAATAGTAACGGTCCCAGAATGGAACCCTGAGGAACTCCAGATGTTGTTGCAAATTTGACAGACTTAAACCCATTAAGCTGTACAAACTGAGTACGATTTACTAGATAGCACTGAAAGAGATTTATCAAAGGAGGGGACAACCCTAACCCTGTACATTTTCCAAGAAGAATACCGTGATCAAGTCTCTCAAATGCCTTTGAGAAATCTGTGTAGATGACATCAGTCTGGGCGCGCTCATCAATAGATTCAGCAATGTATTGTGTAACGGTAACCAGGTTGGTGACTGTTGAGCGACCTTTCATAAATCCATGTTGATTGACTGATAGCATTTTACTAACATAATGATATAAGGTTTTCTCCAATAAAATTTCAAATATTTTGGAAAAATTGCATATTATGGATATTGGTCTGTAATTGGTTAAATCTTTTTTATCCCCCTTTTTGAAAACTGGACATACTTTTGAGGTCTTCCAAATATCTGGAACTGTTGATGTCCTGAGGAATATATTTATGAGGGTGGCTAACGGAGGAGCAAGTTGAAAGGCACAATCCTTTAAAATAAAAGCTGGAATATGCTCTGGACCAGTTGCCTTTTTAGGTTTAATAGACTTTAGAGCTTCATATACCTCTTATTCGGTAAAACAATTGACATTAAGGAACGGAACATTGAGTCGTGAATTTGAATTAGCAATAAACGGGCTAGAGGTAATATATGACTGTTTGAAGAAGTCAGCAAATCCATTGAGAATATCTAATGGAGTTTTTAGTGATTTGTTGTCATAAGACATTATTTGAGGGGATTTGGATTGTGATTTCTTACTATTTATAAATGCCCAAAATTTACTTGAATTATTAGATATCTCTTGTTCAGTCTTTTTAATATATGCTCTGTAAGAAATGTCTATTTCTAATTTTAAAGCAGCTCTTATGCGTTTGAAGTCTTCAAAGGCTTCTAAATCATTTTCTCGTTTGTATTTTTTCCACATATTAGTTTTGACGCGTAACTGATTGATTATTTCTCTATTAAACCACGCTGTATATTTGTTTTGATGCTTGCAGGAATATTTGGGACAACATTTATCAAGAATATTATATAACTTTCCATAAAAGTATGTACAAGCGTCTTCTGCATTATTAAAGGCTTCTAAAAATGTCCAGTCAATACTGGAAATTAAATTGTACATCAGTGGAAAATTGGCTTTTTTGAAATTATAACAGTTTTCAAAGAAAGATTCCAGATTGTTTTTACGGTTAGTTTTTACTTCCAAGTAACAATTGATGTCCAGAGCAGGATGATGTTTATCTTCCACTACAAATGGATCAAGCGATTTTTCTACTAGACATTTATCATTAAAGAAGACTAGATCTAATAGCCTATTATTATCATTAAAGATAAAATTAGACTGAGATAAATTAAAAAGTTGGGAGAAGTCATTGATTATTGAAATTTGTTTGTTACTTTTGCCGTTAAATTATAACATATTGACGTGCCAATTGATGGTCGAAGGAATCGATGAAATAAATTTAATAAAGTCGGAAATTGAGAAGGTTGACTAAATCAGTCTGGAGGACTTTATCAACTATGGACCTTCTTAGGAAGGAAGTTACAGTCTCCATTAGTGAATCTGGAGGATCTTCATATTGTCCAAGCTATAATAGCCCATGAATCGATTGTAATTGAAAGCATTCAGACAACAGTGTGATAAAAAAAATGATAAAACAAACGTATTGAGCAAGTAAAAGTAAAAGATGTACCAAACAACATGCGTGATTTGACTTGACTTTAATGTAATGTTGAGCTGAAAAAGATGGTGGATGTAAGTGTGACGATTAAGAAATTTGTAAGATTGAAATGAGTGAATTATTTAAATAGTGTTTTACAAATAATTTAAGTCAATTGATGAAAAGTGAGAAATTGGATATAATTGATAAGTAGGTGAAAAAAGGGGGGTTAGTACGTTTACGTTTATTAGCCATAAATTTTGAAAAATATTTGGCTACTTTGTGGGGCATTCTGGAATTATAAAATTTTGAGTTATCGGTAACCATTGTAGAATTTATGTTTTTGCTTCAAAGTAAAGCTTGCTATTTAGAAGCAGCAGATCTCTAATTCCCCGCTTGACATGGTGAAGATTCTATAGGTATTCATAGTGTTCCCTATTATGTGTCACCGAAAACCAAATATATAGGTACCCATAGAAAATAATCTTAATATAATAGGATATAATAGGTTACCTTATCTACTCTAATACGTCTTTTCTAGTCGTATATTTATTACGTAATTTTAGTTATTTATACCTTTTGGTGAAATAAAAAATTCCTTTTAGAATATATAATATTAGTTTAACTCAAAAAACAGTTAAAAAAATAGGGAAGAAGTAATTATGGCTAAGGAAGCTCACATTTCATATGACAAATTTATAAGCAAATTACATCTTTATATGGACGAAACTACTGAAACATTCACTATAAACGAAAAAAAATCCTAAATTTAGACAATGTTTAATTTCAGCCTTAAT